CGCGTCCTCCTCCCCCCCCCCCCCCCTCCCTCGCCCTCGCCTCGTCGCGTCGCGTCGTCCCCTTCCCCCCCGCCCCGCTCCGGCCTCTCGCCAGCCTTCCAACCGCCCGTCGCGTCGTCCATCCGTCCATCCGACCGAGCAGGCGGACGAGGAGGATGCGTCGCTCGCCGAGCTCGTCGCGTGGCTGCGCGAGGCTCCGCCGCCGCGCGGGCGGTCCTCCTCGCGCGCGCCGCCGCCGCCGCCGCCGCCGCCGCCGCCGCGCGTCGTCGCCGCCGGGTTCGCGACGCGAGGCGAGTTCGCGCACGCGCTGCTGACGCTCGCCAAGGCGCAGACTTCCGCGGTGGCGTCGTCGCGGACGACGACGACGACGACGACGACGACGACGACGACGACGACGGCAGAGCTCGCCGCCGCGCCTCCCCGCGTTTTCGACGCGTCCGGCGCGACGGCGTCGCGCGCGCCGCCGCCGGTCACCGCGGCGGCGTCCGCGCCGTCGTCCCCGGAGGAGGAGGAGGACGCGCGACTGCATGCGCGCGGGCGAGGCCCGGGCGGGCACGGACGCGCGCCGAAGACGGGGAGCCGACTCGGAGGTATCGGTCTCTCGGACGAGGTCGAGTTCCCGTCGCTTTCGTTCGGAGGCGGCGGGGATCGAACCGGCGTCGACGGCGGCGCGAGGGGAGGCGCGCAGGCGCTGCGGAGGAGGCTCGAGGACGACCTCGGCGAAGGAAGCAGCGCGGAACGAGGGGGGCGCGCGCGCGATGGATCGCGCGCGAAGAAACAGCCGAAGCGAATAGCGCCGTCGGCGGTGTCGTCGTCGTCGACGACGACGAGCGCTATTGGGGATCCGTCCTCGCGCGCGGTCGCGTCCACGTTCGGCGTCGCGATGGCCGCGGCGACGATCGCGATGCCCGCGGCGATTGCGACGACGACGCCGCACGCGCCGTTGACGCCGCCGCCGCTGCGACGAGATTCGAGTCGACCGCCGCCGCCGCCGACGACGTCTTCGCGTGGTGCGTTCTATCTCACACTGGTCCCCATACGACCGCGTTCGCGTGGTGAACGCCGATCCTTAAGGACTTTGCCCGGCGCATCTCTCCGCGCACCCCTCGCTTTCGACGACGACGGAACACCTCGAACGACTGAACCTCGGGAACCTCGGCGCGATATTATTTCCAGGCGAAGACGGCGCCACATCCGCCGGGGTCTTCTCGGCCGCGGCGACACATGCGGCGTATCAGACGGTCGAGCTGTCGCCCGCGGCCAGACGCGCGGCGGCGCTTCACGGCGTCGTCGTCGACGCCGCCGTCGCGCCGGACGTCTCCGCGGAGTGCGCGTCGCTGTTGCGTCTCCTCGCCGTTCCGCACGACGTGGTGTTATGTGACGCTTCGTCTTCCTCCGATAGTAGGTCAGAAGAAGGACTTGAAGATGGTTCTTCCAATGACGCGTCATCCGCGTCTGCTGCGTTTGATTGGAGGATACGAACAGGCGCGCACGCGCACGCGTACGCGGCGGCGGCGTTGCAAGGCGGCGACGCGTTTTCAAAGACGAAGACGTCGTTCGCGCTCGCGTGCGGCGAAGCCGCCCTGAGCGCGATGTCGCAGTCCGCGCCGCTGCAGAGGAACGCGCCGTCGTTCCACGCCGCGGTCGTGAGAGAGCTCGGCGCGGTCCGAGCGGCGAGAGCGGCGAGAAAGGGCGGCGGCGGGGATCGAACCGGCGGCGACGGAGACGGAGGTGCGTTCTATACACTGGTTCCCATACGGCCGCGTTGGCGTGGTGAACGCCGATCCTTAAGGACTTCGCGCGGCGTCTCTCTCCGCCCACCCCTCGCTTTCAATCCCCGCCCTCGATGCCTTTCAACTCCATCTGACGCCTTTCAACTCCACCCCGACATCGCTTTGTATGGAACGACCCGGAGACGGATTCGGCGGCGACACAGCTGGCGGCGGCGGGATGGGACCTCTCCTCCCCGCGCGCGCGCTCGTCTCCGCCGCCGGCCCCGCGCCGCCGGCATCGCGCGGCGGCGGCGTCGTCGTCGGCAACGGCGGCTTCGGCGGCGCGGTGAACACGCAGGCGGCGTACCACAACAGAGAGAAGGCGAGGGACGCGTTGTACGCGCACCTGCGGTCGCTCGCCGCGGGGCTCGCCTCAGGTGCGTTCTATACACTGGTCCCCATACGACCGCGTTCGCGTGGTGAACGCCGATCCTTAAGGACTTTGCCCGGCGCATCTCTCCGCGCACCCCTCGCTTTCAATCCCCGCCCTCGGCGCCTTTCAACTCCACCTGACGCCTTTGAACTCCACCCCGACAATCGCTCGTATAGAACGGCCCGCAGGCGACGACGGCGCGCACGACGGCGCGCACGTCGCGTCTCTCGCGGCGGCTAAAACGCGCGAGCTCCTCTCCGGCGTCCACCTCGAGAACACGCGCTGGTTCGCGGAGTTGATAACCTCGCGGCTCGTCCAGGCTGGCGCCGCGGGGGAGGCGGACGAGGAGCTCGCGGCTGCGGTGACGCCCGCGCGCTTGTCCAGATTGCACCGCCGGCTCACGGGCGAGTCCGGAGCGGGCGCGGGCGTCGGTTCGAATTCCGGCGGCGGTTCGAATTCCAACTCGAACTCGAACGGCCACGGCCACGGCGGGAGGGGCGGCGGCGGACGCGGCGGCGCGGGGGGAAGAGGAGGACGCGGAAGAGGCAGCCACGGCGGCGGCGGCGGCGGGACGTTCGCGGCGTCGTTCGCGTGCATGTTCCCCCCCGCGATACGGCCGTACGTTCGACTGATCGAGCTCGCGGACTCGCACCGGCTGTCGCAGGCGCTCGTCCGAGCGCTCGTCGCCGCGCTGCACGCGCTCGACCCGTGCTCGCGGGCGGATCTCGACGACGAAGACGACGACGACGACGCCGCCGCGGACGCCGCCGCGGCGAACGATCGCGCGGGACCCCTTACTTTATCCCCCGGCGGCGTGATTCCGACGGACGCGGCGCCGTCCGCGCGCGGCGTCGCGTCGCTCTTCGGCGGCGCGCGGTCGCGGTCGCGGTCGATCGACGGTGACAGCGGCGGCGGCGTCACGGAGCGCATGCTCGCCGCGCGCGCGGTCGGCGGCGTGTTGGGCGTGCTGTCCTTCGGCGCCGGCGCCTCAGGCGCGTTCTATCTCGCACTGGTCCCCATACGACCGCGTTCGCGTGGTAAACGCCGATCCTTAAGGACTTTGCCCGGCGCATCTCTCCGCGCACCCCTCGCTTTCAATCCCCGCCCTCGGCGCCTTTCAACTCCACCTGACGCCTTTCAACTCCACCCCGACATTCGCTCGTATGGAACGGCCCGCAGGCGTCGGCGTCGCCGCGCGCGCGATGTCGCCGCCGCCGGGGATCGACGCGGCGGCGTCCGTGCGACGCGCGATCGAGCGCGGGTCGCTGCTCGTGACCGCGCCGTGGGTGCTGTTCTTCTATCGGTTCCTTCCGTGGGACGCGGAGGCGGCGTGCGCGCGGTGTCATCTGGAGCCGCTCGCGTTGTTGCGTCGGACGCTGGCGTCGCCGCGGTTGCGTCCGGACGGCGAGAGAGAAGAAACGGTCAAACGTGAGGCGTTTCAAAGACGAAGCACGCGGCGAACGCGTTTCGCGCTGCCGCAGGTGACGCTGCGCGCGACGCTCGCGTCCGGGCTGATCGCCGTCTCGCCGACGACGCCCGCAGCGTGCGTCGCGTTCGCGGCGGCGGCGGCGGCGCGCGGCGGCGACGCGGAGGCTTGCGGGCCGGCGGCGCCGGTTGCGCGGCGTGTGCGCCGTCCCGCCGTCGCGAGGGGACCTCGGCGCGTCCGGCGCGGCGCGCGCGCGGCGACGACGACGGCGACGACGACGAGGAGGACGACCCGCTCGCGCGGTGGGGCGCGCTGGCACGCGTCGCCGCCGCGGCGATCTCGAGCTCGAGCTCGAGCTCGAACGCGAACGCGAACGACGACGGCGATCTCCCCCCCGACTTTGACGCCGGCGGCGTCGACGCGCGGTACGTCGAGTTCGCGTGCCCCGCGCTGGACGCCGCCGCGGGCGAGCTCGCGCGATCGATCGAGAAGAGCCGCGTCCGCGCGACGGCGACGGCGACGGCGACGGCGGCGTCCCCGGCGGCGTCTTCGCCCGCGGGGTCGACGGGCGGCGGCGGCGGCGGCGGCGGCGCGGCGGCGGCGGGGGGGCCGCGACGCGTCGTCGCGGTTCGAACGATCGTCGCCGTCGCGAACGGCGGCGGCGCGGGCGCGTCGCCATCTCCCGCCGCGCCGCCGTCGTCCACCGCCACGCCGTTCGACGCCCCGTCGTCGTCGTCTTCTTCCGGGCTGCCGCCGAGGGCGCCGCCGCGCGCGACGCCGACGCCGACGCCGCCGACGCCGACGACGCTCGCGACGGCGTCGACGTCCTCCGCGAAGACCATCACGAAACGCGCGCTTCAACGCGCGTTCCTCTCGCGCCGACCGGACCTCCATCGCGTCGTGGACTTCGCCGTGGACGCGAGCGCGCTCGCGGCCGCGGACGCTGCGAGCGCGTTCGCCGCGACGCCCGCGGTCGAGAGAGCGAACGACGCGCTCGTCGCCGCCGCCGCCGCCGCCGCAAACGCCGCGCCCGCGGGGGCGAAGATCGAAGACGCGTGGACGCCCGCGTTCGAGCACGCGGTCGAGAGGGCGGCGATGGCGGCGGCGCGCGACGCGATCGGCGCGGCGGCGGCGGCGGCGGCGGAGGACGCGAGCGCGCGCGCGGCGAAAGCGGTCGCGGCGCTCACCGAGCAGGAGGAGGAGGAGGCGGCGGCGGAGAACGCGGATGAGGTGCGTTCTATACACTGGTCCCCATACGACCGCGTCGGCGAGGTGGACGCCGATCCTTAAGGAGTTTACCCGGCGCATCTCTCCGCCCACACCTCGCTTTCAATACCCGCCCTCGGCGCCTTTCAACTCCGCTTCTGACGCCTTTCAACTCCACCCTGACTTTCGCTCGTATAGAACGGCCCTGAGAACGCAGAGAACGCCTCCTCGAGCTCCTCTTCCTCCTCGAACGCCGGGTCGCCGTCCACCGTCCTCCCGCGCGGGTCCTCCGGGTCCGCGCGACGCGACAAGCCGGGAAGTCGCGAAGACGGCGGAGGACGCGGGTCGAGGATCGCGCCGGAGGCGGCGGCGGCGGCGGCGCTCGCCGCGGACGCCGCGCGTGCCGCGGCGTCGGACCGCGTGCGACGCACGCTGCCGTTCGAGCTCCACGCGAGGATTCAGAGCGAGGCGAGGGTCGCGCTGAAGAGGGCGCTGCTCGCGGCGAGAGAGGCGACGCGCGCGGCGACGCGCGCGGCGCGATCGGGCGCGGAGGAGGAGACGGCGGCGGCGGCGCCCGCGGCGGCGCCCGCGGAGGAGGAGGAACGCGAGGAAGAGGAAGGCGAACGCGTTCGTCGTCTCGTCGCGAACGTCGGCGACGGCGTCTGCGCGCGCGCGAGGGCGTTGCTCGACGCGTGCGTCGCGCTCGCGGACGCGTCGTCGTCGTCGCGCGATGCCGATGAAACCCTCCTCGATGAGACGGCTTTCATCGAGGCGTTGGACGACACGTCGCGCGCGGCGTTGACGCTCTCCGACGCCGACGCCGCCGCAAACGCCGTCGCGTTTCCCAGCGCGCGCGTCGCCGACGCCTGCGTCACCGCCGCGGACGCGCTCGCCGCGCTTCTCTTCGCTTCGCCGCCGAACCCGAAGGCGAACAACCCGAACGCGAACGCGAACGAGCGCCTCGGTGTCGGGAGGGACACGCTCTGGGAGGTGACGTCGCGCGCGGTGCTTCAGGCGTGGCGTCGGGCGGCGGCGGCGGCGGCGGCGGCGGCGGGCGCGGGCGCGGGAGACGGCGACGGCGACGGCGACGCGATCGCCCTTCTCTCCACCGCGTGCGCGCGCGCGTTTTTGGCCCCCGATCGTTGGCTCGCGTCGATGACAGACGTCGCGCCCGCGCCGTTCACGCAGCGACGCGCGGAGGCGTGCGCCGCGCGCGTGGTGCGTTCGTTTCCATCCGCCGCCGCCGCCGTCGAACGAAACGAAAACGAAAACGGTCGCGACGTGACCGTTTCCGTCGTGTCCGCGTGCGCGTCCGTCGCGGCGGCGGCGCCCGCCGCGCTCGCGCTCGTCCGCGCGGCGATCGACTCCGAGCTCGTCGGCGTCGTCGGCGTCGCGGTCGTGTTGCGCGCGTTTGCCAACGCGCTCGACGCGGCTGGCGGCGGCGACGGCGACGGCGACGCGGGAAAACTCCGAGCCGTCGTGTCCGCGGACGACGCGGCGGCGCTGGGGAAGCTCGCGCGCGGGCTCGCGTCCATGTGCGACGAAGCCGGGGAGAAGCGCACGCGTCGGCGCGTGGAGGCTTCGCCGTGGATGGACGTCGGCGGCGTTTGAGCGGTCGGAATCGACGCGCGACGCGACGCTCGAGAACTTTTTTTATCATAGATAGCGGACGAAGTACACGTAGTCGTTCTCGTAGACTTATTATCGCGCGGGCGCGCTCTCTTCTTAATATGAACAAAGCGAGCGCTACCGCGATAAAACGAAATGAATGTGTGTGCTTCTCGCTGCTAGTGCGTCCGCGCTACTGTTGTATCGGAGGTTCGCGACGGGCGATCGATTCGATTTGCGTCGACTCGCGCCGTCGACTCCCCCTCCTCGCCTCGATCTTTCTTCTTCGTCCTTCGACGCGGCTCGCCGAGCCGCGCTCGATTCGACGCTCGCTCGACGCGCGACGCGCTATTACCTCCCGAAGAGCCCCTTCTTCTTGCCGCCGCCCTCCGCAGCCTTGCGCGCGGCCGCGCGCTTCGCCTCGAACGCCTTCTTGTTCTCTCTCTTCGCGGCTCGGATCCCGGGCGCGTTGAAGCCGTCCTTTTTGTAGTCCATCTTCTTCTCCGGACGGAACGCGTTCTTCCCGCTGCCGCACGGCGGGCACTTGTAATCCTTCGGGAGGTCGTTGAAGTCCGTGCCGCGGTAGACGTACCCGCAGTCGCGGCAGACCATGGCGACGCCCGGGGGTTGCTTCGCCGCGCCCATTCCGAAGAAGGCCATCGTCGTCGTCGACGTCCGGCCGGCGGGAGTTCGCGCGGCGGATTTGGAGGACGCGCGGAGCGCGCTCGCGCCGCCGAGGAACGCGGGGCGCGCGGAGGTGACGGGAGCGGAGACGGCGAAGGACATCGTTCGTTGAGACGCGAGACGGCGACGTGTGCGCGCGAGGCGTGAAGTGACGACGCGGCCGCGCGACGTCACGACGACGGTTGATGAACGCGAGCGAAAAAAATCCCAGAGGCTGAAATTTTCCCCGGCTGGGACGTCAGCCAATCACGTGCGAGCGTTCCACGGACAAGTGGCGGTGTCGCCGCTTTTTTTTATCGTCGCGGCGCCGTCGCCCAGACGTGCACGAAAACGTGCCGCGTCGTCGCGTCGACGGTCGCGGCACTCTCGCCACTCTCGACGCGCGCGCCGAGACGTCTCTCCTCTCTCCCCGCGTCATCGAAATGTCCGCCCTGTCGTTCGCCTCCGCGGTCGTCCCGACGCGCGTCGTCGCCGGCGCGGACCGCCGCCGCGCGTCCTCCGCGCGCGGCGACGACGACGCGCGTCGCGCGTCGTCGCGCATCGCGACGCGCGCGTTCTGGAAGAAAGAGGCGCCGCCGCCGCCGCCGACGCCGCCGCCCGCGCCGAAAGGCCTCGGCGCGCTCTTCGGCGGCGCGAAGAAGGCGTCATCGACGCCGCCGCGGCAGCAGCAGCAGGTCAGGGACGTGGAGTACGTCCCGCAGGAGACCATGACCGACGCGTACGCGCGCATTAAAAAGTCGCGCGAGCAGAAGCGCAAGGCGTACGAGGCGCAGGAGAAGGGCGGCCTCTCTCTCTTCGCGTTCAAAGCGCTGAGCGCGATCAACTTCGAGGAGGACATCGAGTCCGACCGCGGCCTGCTCCGCGCGGCGAAGAGCATGAAGAGAGGGGACAAGATGTCGAGGGAGCAGTACAACGCGCTGCAGCGAAAGGTGGGAGGCACCAAGGGTGGTTTCTTCGGCGAAAACGTCTTCGCGAAGGGGGAGTATCTGGACAAGGGGTACGAGGTCAGCGCGAAGGAGGAGCCGGTGAAGCCGCTCGGGAACGCGTTCCTGTACGGCGTGTTGGTCGCCGTGCTCGCGACGACCGGGTACGTGTGCTACGCCGTCGGTCAGGCTGGGGCGATTTAGGACGCCGCGCACTGCATTGCATCGCATCGCATCGCCGCCGCGTTATCACATCGCCGCCGCTCGGGACGACGGCGCGGGATTTGTTTATTTGTTTTGTGTAATACGACACGACACGCGCTTCGCTTCGCTTCGCGTTGGCGCGCACGTCGCGTCGCCGCTCACCACTCGTCCGTCCGTCGTCGCGTTCGTTCGGCCCGTTCGCCGGCGCGTCCCCCCCCTCGCTAATAGCCGCTGCCGCCGCCGCCGCCGCCCGGACCCTGCCCCCGGCCGTTCATCCACTGATGCCGGCCGAGGGCGTTCCGCTCGTGCGCGGCGACGAACGCGGCGTTGGCGTCGGACCCCCGCGCGCCACCCCCTCCTCCCGCGCCCGCGCCCGCGCCCGGCGGCGCGCCCGCCGGCGTCGGCGGCGCCCCGGCGCCCGCCGCCGCCGCGCCCCCCATCTGCTGGGCGTACGCGGCGTGCGCGGCGTATTGCGCCTGCGTGGGTGAAGCGATCGGTCAGTCGAACGTCTTACCGGTCAAACGTACGTTGAAAGGGAAGCGCGGGTGAAGAGTGACGACGGGAAAAGTCAGTCCTCAAGGAACGGCGCGCGCCGCGCGAACGGGTTTTGTCGTACGGGAAGCGGTCTCGCCTGCGCCTGCGCCGCCGCCGCGGCCATGTACGCGCCGGCGTTCTGATCCCCCGCCGCGGCCGCGGCGGCGTACATCGCGTACGCGTTCGGATCCATCCCACCGTACATCCCCATCCCCATGCCGGGATTCCCCATACCGAACGCCATTTGTGGGGGGTACCCCGGATACCCGCCGTACGCGCCGCCCATCGGACCTCCCATCCCGGGTCCGCCCATCGGTCCCATCGCGCCCATGCCCCGCCCGGGGGCCATCCCCATGCCGCCCATCATCCCCATGCCGCCGCCGCCGCCGCCTGGGTTTGAGCGCACCCACGACAGACGAACGCGCGAGGTGCCGATCAGAGCGTTGTTCAGACCCGCGATGGCGGCTTCCGCGCACGACCGCTGCGCGAACTGCACGAACCCGCACCCTTTACCGTGCGGGATCTTGATGTACACGAGCTCGCCGTACGGCTCGAAGTGTATCCGGAGCTCCGCGTCGGATATCGATCCCAAGCCGCCGACGAAGACGGTGCAGTTGTCGTCGCCGTCGTCCCTCGCGCCGCCGCCGCCGCCGCCGCCGCCGCCGCCGCCGTCGCCGCCGCCGCCGCCGCCGCCCTGGTACCCCACGGTCATGTTCTTCCTCGGGATCGCGAGCGATATCCGCATGTTCCGCGACCCGCACGCGAGACCGTTCATCTCCACTAGCGCGCGGTCCCGCTGGCTCTCGTCCGCGAAGCGCACGAAGCCGAACCCTTTCGAGCGGCCCGTCGCCGGGTCCGTGACGACCCTCGCGTTTCGCACGCTCGCGTACCTCGACGAGAACACCTCCTGGAGCATGAAGTCGTTCACCTCGGGGGGCAGGTCGCCGACGAAGATGGAGTGGTCGTTGGAGTTGGTGGCGCCGCCGTCGCCGCCGCCGGCGAAGCGCGCGCCGACCCCGAAGGACGCCCAGTTGAGGCGGTAGTTTTGCTGCGCGTTCGGCATCTGCGTGCCGTTCAGGGCGCGCAGCGCGTGCTCCGCGGTGGCTCTGTCGCACATCTCCACGAAACCGTAGCCTTCGCTGTACCCCGTCTGTTTGTTTCGTATGATCTTCACGCTCGCGACGCCGCCTGGTGAGAGGAGGGAGGGAGGGAGGGAGGGAGAAGGAGAGGGGTCAGTCGGGGGCGATCAGTCGACGTCCCATCTTTTTTTTTTTTCGCGCGCTCTTCTGCAAGCTGTCGCCGCCGAAGTTTTCACCGAACGTCGATAAAAAAAACGATCGGGGCGCTTCCGCCGCGGCGCGGGCGCGGCGGCCGCGACGCCCGTCGTCGCGGTGGACGCGAGTCGAGAGCGCGCGTCGGTCGGTCTCTCTCCCGCGAGCGCGCGACGGCGTCGCGCGAGGGGACGCGAGACGCGTCGAGGCGAGACCGATCGACGACGGATGAGAAGATGGGATGGCGAGGCGCGCACCGACGGAGGCGAAGCACTGATGAAGATACGCCTCATCCATCCAGTACCCCTGCGACGACGCGAGGAGGGAAGGGAAACGGGGCAGAGAGGGATGGCGTCAGCGACGTCGTTCGCGAGAGGGAGAAGACGTCGTCGGGCGCTCGCGAGCGGCGACGCGAGCGACGGGCGGCGTCGCGCGGCGTCGCCGCGACGCGAAGCCAACCATCCTCCGCGAGATCGTTCGATCGATCGTCGTCGTCGTCGTCGAAGCCTTCGCTCCTCGCGCGAAGGGAAGAAAAAATATCTCTCCGCGGCCGCGCGGCCGTCGCGTTCGCGCGTCGCGCGACGCACCAAATCGCCGATCCACAGCGTGGACCCGCCCGCCTCCTCCGCGCCGCCGTTCTCCGCCATCTCGCCCGCGGTTCCGCGCGCGCGCGTGAACGCCGCGCGCGCCTCGCTCGCGATGGGACGCGCCCCCGACGCCGGTTCGCTGGTTGGCTTGAACACGTTTATCCGCGGGCCACGCGCGATCGCTCGCTTCGCTTCGACGACCGGTCGCGGCGCGCGGGCGCGCTTCGTTCTCCGGCGCGACGACGCGACGCCCTGCGCTCGACGATACGACGCGAGTGGGACGACGATACGACGCGGACGCGCGATGCGTGTCTCGCGCGTGCGCGTCCCGCGTGCGGGTATGCCGCGCGCGGACGTCGCGGCCGCGCGGGTGTCATCGTTCATCCTGTTTCGAGACGATATTCGAAGCGCGTACTACGCGCAAGCGATGAAATCGTACGAGCAAACAGTCAGACCGCTTCGGATGTCGTTGACAGGTCAGCTCCGCGTGCGACGATTGACGACGACAAGTAAGAAGCGCGGACGACAACTCACTTTTAGGCTCGAACGTGACTGGATGAGTGGGTCGAATGAACGTTGCCGAGCGGTGTGCGGGGTGAACGAATCCGATGAAAAATAAAGACCCGGTCAAACGCCGATCAAAAAATTAACATCTCGGACGACGTCGGATTCCTGGACTTGAGGAGTCGCAGTCACAGTCGCCGCGCCCTCGAAAAGAACGATGGCGACCGCGGCGTCGACCGCGTCGCGCGTCGACGTCGCGCCATCGCGCGCGCGCCGCCGCCGCCGCGCGTCGTCGCTCGCCGCTCGACGCGCCCCCTCCTCCTCTTCTTCGCGCGTCGACGCGGCGGTCGGCGGCGACGCGTCGACCATCGCGCGCGAGTTCGTCTTCGTCCCGTACGGCGATCCCGCGCCGCGCGACCGCGCGTCGCTGTCGTGCGACGGCAAGGTGGACGGCGCCACCCTCGACCTGACGCACTGGACGAACAACGCCACGCCGGAAGCGCTCTACGCGGACACGTCCACGGAGATCGCGCTCAACTTGGCGCGCGCGCGATTCGACGACGCCGCGACGTACGCGCGATTCGACGACGCCGTCGTGCTCAACAACCACTACGACGTCGACGGCGTGCTGTCTGTGTACGCGTGCGTCGACCCGACGAATGCGCTGCGGCATCGCGAGGTGATGA